GAGCAGTATCTGAGGCCAGTGACAGAGCCAGACATCAGCCTGACCCCTGAGCAGCATCTGAGGCCAGCGCCAGAGCCAGACATCAGCCTGACCCCCAAGCACAGCCAGAGACCGGCACCGAGCTCCTCGGCCTCGTTAATGCCCACGGCATTCCCACTCCTCATCCTGGTGCAATTCCTGAACCTGCTGCAGGACTTCCTGCCTTTCCTGAAGGACAAAAAGGCTTAAGCAGCGGGATGAGCGGGATCCAGGGCTACAGTGGGCCACGGCCATTTCCTGCTGGGCCAAAGGTAGCCTTGGGGCCAGAGGCTGCTCTGTCCTGCCCACGCTGCTCCGCTGCACCCACACCGATGCTGACGTGACCAGGGTGTTGAAATAAAGTTTCTGTGCTCCTCATTAACTGTGTTTTCAGCCCTGCTCAGTGCACCCATGGGCTGGGAAAGTCCCTGCTCTGTCAGTCTGCTGGGCTGTTCACATTTGTTCTTTGGCTTGAGTGAGATGTGCAGTGGTGAGGGCCAAGCCAAGGGAGATCCTGCCCAGAAGGGCTCCCACAAGAAGGGAGAGGCCCAGCTGCCCATCATCACAGCTCCAGGGCACAAGAAACATCACTGTTCTCTGTGCAGGCCCCAGAAATGCAATGCCAAGGGAAACTGGACTCAGGGTCCAGTGGCAAAGGAAAACCAGGCTCAGGGTCCAGGCTTAGGCAGATGGGGTTTCCTCTTCAGGGCAGCTCTTCTCTCTATCTGATGAATCCTCGTTCATCTTCTGCAGGTCAAAGCTCTGGAAAAGAGCAGGACAAGGATTTGCTGAGAAGTGACAGAGACTGCAACAGCTTCATCTGCTGTGGCTCTTTCAGACTCGGCCTAGTGCAGCAAGGGCTCCTCTGAGGTCCCAGCCTCGCCCCTCCCAGCCCAGCACAGCACACCCCCCCGGGGTCACTGGCACGGGGCAAAGCTTCCCGTGCTGCACAGTTCCACCCTCTGCCACGGGGAAAAAGGGCAGAGCTGCTCCTTCCTCAGGCAATGGGGAGAAACAGAGCCTTCCCTACCTCCAGCTCCTGCAGGAAAGAGGGAGCAGGGACAGAGCCTTCCCTACCTCCAGCTCCTGCAGGACCTGGTCCATGAAGTCTCCCGAGTGCTGTTTGTAAGCCACGGCCAGTCTGATGGCATCGTTGAAGAGCTGGGGGAAAGGACAAGGCCCATCACTCCCAGGATGGGGCACATGGGCACCGGGTTTCTGTAGAAGATGGAGACTGTTCCCAAATCCCAAGGGAACCTCTGCAAACTCGGTAGCCACCAGCCCCTCAGGGAGTTGAACTGATGGACCAGCCCATCTGCTGTTGCCCCTGCCCACAGCAGCCCCCATGTCCCTGGGCTGCTGAGGGGCCCCAGGGACACCGAGCCCAGCAGCCAACCAGCCCATCTCACCTTCACCACGTTGGTGCCGTCGGCAGCAGACACAAAGTAAAAGGGCAAACTGAACTTCCGGGCAAAGTTGAAGCTTTTCTGGGTCACCTTCATATCCGCTGGGGCAGACAAAGGAGACAGGGTCAGTCAGACAGGGCAGGAGATCCCGAGGGTGGGCGTCCCCTGGGTGCCACACCAGGCACTGCCACAGGACCCAGAGAGCCACAGCCCCAGCAATCTCGAAGGACTGGCTGGCATTCCCAACGGGAGGGAACCTTCCAGCCACCTGCAGAGCCAGGTGAACAGTTGTGCCAGCAGGTACATTGAGGCACTTCAGCACAGAGGAGCCTGTGCAGGCTGAAGGAGGAGCACCAAGGCCATCCCTGAGTGATCTGGGGAAGCCATAAAACAGCTTTTTCTCCTTTTCCTGCCATTTTTGACCAGGTGCTGCTCCAATCACCTTTGGGTTCTTTCTGGTGGTAAGGAAGGAATTGAAAGGACATCACTGGGATAAACCTCGAATGGATCCAATCTGCATTTTTAACTGCTGGTGACATAGGAAAACCACCTGTGAGACAGCAGGTGAGATCAGCAGAGGACCCAGCCCAGGGGACTCAGGAGATCCTCTGGACCCAACAGACATAAGAGTGAATCCCACCACAGCCCTGGGAGGTTGGGTGCAGAAGGTACACTCACCATCAATCTTGTTGGCCACCACAATGCAGGGAATCTCCGGGCGGAACTCCCTCAGCTCCCTGTACCAGCTGTTCAGGTTCTTGTAGGTGACCTTCCGCTGCACATCGAACACCTTCCAAAAGAGAACCAAGCCAGGGCAGCTGTGACTGACCCTGGACAGCTCCGAGCAGCCTGGGACATCTCTGAGCAACACAAGGACAGGATCCAGAATGTTCCCAGGAGCACATGACAAAGGAAACTGGGTGTTGTTAGAAAGGATGGAAGAGAAAGGGAGAGTATACACAAGCCCTAGTATATGCAGCCAGCAGGAAACAGCCCCTCGATGTCCTTTACACTGTGACTGTGTCCTGTGACAAGTTCCTGCCACCAACACAGGGAGCCAGCACCGGGAACAGTCGGTGCCCAGCAGGGTAAGATGTGGCATCCTCTGTTCTCTGTTCATCTCTGTTTAGTTCCTTTGACAACTAAAGCACCAGTGAAGGTGACTCATGCTCCCAGGTGGTGAGGTACAGTGGAAAGTGGGAGTAACAGAAACCAGGAGACATGAGCAGGTGAGGAGCAATGAAACTGGGAACAGGGACAAATGTGAGGACATTGAGAAGACAGCAGAGCCGGGAGATGGAGGACAGTACTGCCAGGAGAGACAGACCAGAGCTAAGCAAGCCCAGCTACAGGGGCTTTATCTGGTGAGAGAACAAAGAACAATCTAGGAAAATTGTTTGAACCACTGGAAGAGACAAGGAATAAATGGCAGCATAACCATAAAAGCAACACAAAGGCCAAGTGTCCCCGGGACCGTTCCGAGCCCAAATCCCACCAGCTCCCGGGCCAGACTCCCTCACCATGATGCAGGCGTGGGCTTGGTGGTAGTAGGAGGCGTGCATGCTCTGGAACCGCTCCTGGCCCGCTGTGTCCCAGAAGTCTGTAACACAGAAACAGTTCAGAGCGACACAGGTCACTCTGTTTTCCTCACAACTCACCCCCCGGAGGCAGAGCCCAGCCCACCTGCTCCGGGTCACAAACTGGGTTTCACCTCACCAATCCAAAACACTCGAGGGGTATGAGATCGTGCCCAACTGGGAACTTTCCTTAGCTGGGCTCAGCTGAGGGCTGTGCTGGCACTGGCCACGAGCAAAGGAGAAGACACCGGTGACACGAGTTGTATGGGACAGCAGGATGAAACCAGGCAGAAGTGCAAAGAACAGCAGCAATGCCCGGCCCTCTGTCACTAGGGATGACAATGGGAAACCAACTAAACCTCCCAAAGCTGCTGGAAACTGCTGATTTCTGACCCAGTGATGCTCAGCCAGGGCCCTGCCAAAGCAATGCTCCATCTCCTCTCGCAGATATCCAGCTCTGCCTCCCAGGGGCAGGACTTGCTCTGAAGTGCTGGAGGTAAGTCAGCCTGAGGCAGACAGGTCCCAGTCCATGAAGCTCCGTGTACACCTGGATCCTGCAATGCCTTCTGCAGGTTTGTAGGCTCACATCTGGGTCTAGTTTGCTGTATAAATCTGCACAGCTTCAGCTAAGCACCCCAACGTGGTCACACCTCTGTCAGCTGGACCCAAGCATGCTGCTGCACCCAAATCCAAGTAGGCTGTAAGCCACTTTTCTTAGGGATTCCTCTGCTCTAATATTGGTGTCTGACTGGACACTGGGCCAGACCTGCAGGATGGTGACTTCTTAAAATGCCTAAATACAGACAGGTCCCCATCAGACCACATTTGCATTCACTGTCCCTGTCACAACAAAGATGTTGAACAGTGTTGGCCCCAACCCCGACAGACCCCCGAGGGACCCCCCTCCTCCTGGTCTCCACAGGAACAATGAGCCATGACCACGACTCTGCATGCAGCCATCCAGCCCGTTCCTCATCCCCCGAGTGTCCATCCATCCACCCACCCACCTATCCCCCTGTCTCTCCAGCTCAGAGCCCCGGATATCGTGGGGACAGTGCCCAAAGCTTTGCCAAGCCCAGGGGGATGATGGCAGTCGCTTTGCCCCATCCATCACGCTGCAGTCCCATCGCAGAAGGCCACCGGATTCATCAGCATATTGTAGTCTATCTAAAAGCCTAACCAAGACCCAGAGGGAGGAGATCTCGCCCCTCCCCAGCTGTTCCCTCCGCCACGTCCCCGGGCGCACCG